AGCCAGACATTGCACGGTGAAGGGCATGGGTAGCTAGGCGCAGCACCGGCAAGAGTTAGCGTACTCGAGGAACGTGCATTGATAGGAGGCAGGCGCCGCGCGGGGAAGGGCATGGGTAGATTACTTGGCGTTTTGAAGAGCGACGGATCTACGTGTACACTGAAAGGTGAGGACCCGTTCAAGGACGTGGCGTACCCGCACCACGTTCGGACACCGCTATTCCAGAAACCAGATAAGCGTTCTGCAGGTGTGGAAACCTCGGGGCACCAACCGTTTCATTATGTAGATTGGCAACAAAACATCTACAACTAGAAACCCATCTACGCGAAAGGGCCTGAGCGATGCCGATAATTCCAGACGAACCGATGATGGCCGATTTGCCGACGCGACGCACCTTGGACCGCCGGGTAAGATAGGCGACTGCTGTAAGCAAAGCTGGCAATACCCGCATGGGAGGCTGACGACCCCAAGGCCGGTAATGCGCTGCGGGAGAGAGCGCCGGAAGGCATACCGAGTTTGCCGACCCTGCTGCGGAGGTTATGTGCTGCGGGCAGACAAGCTGCCCCCTTATTAGTCATGCACTTCGCCGCACGAGAGGCCGCCATGCCCTCTGCTGGGCCGGGGTTTCGCTGCTGGATGGCACGCTAACCACTGCCAGGGAGGGAAAACGCTGCAGACAGAAAATGTGCATCAGGAGGTGACGCTGCATGCTCCCTGCCAGGCCAGTAATGAGCTGCAGGACAGCACACAGCCCGCTGGTACTGCGCTGAGAGGGAGAAGCTGTCACCGTCAGGCCGGCAGTGCCCTGACGCCGCCTGCTGCTAGGACGGTAACGCGCCACCTGCTTCGCTGCGGGAGAGAAACACATGTTGTGAGGAGAAGGGCGGCCGCACAGGGAAGGGCATCGAGGGGTAGGTACCGCGTGGGGACGGGCGGACGCGCAGGGAAGGGCAGGCGCAGCACGGGTAAGAGCACGGGTAGGCAGGCGCCTCACGGAAAGGGCGGGCGTTCAGGGAAGGGCAGGGGGGAAGCACTGGGGGCCGCAGGAAGCGTGTACAGGGAAAGGCATGGGTCGGCCGGCACCGCATGGGGATGGGCAAGGAGCTGCAAGGGGAAGGGCGGAAGGCACCGCACGTGGGAGGACAGACGGAAGCATGCGCAGCGCGAGGAAGGAAGGGCGATTCAGGCTCCGCACGGGAAACGACCCAGAGGCAGCCACGTTTCGATGATCTGCTATTTGATAAGAACCTGCGAAGGCCGGCACGTCATCGAAGGACGAAAGATTATGTTGCAAACACCCCCACCGCCGTCCAGCTTCCTGTCGAAGCGCCACTGTTAGTTCCGTGGTCTGCTATGTCCTGGATGTGACGACTCTAGTAGCTAGCGCACCCTAAGAGACGTTTTACTGGCTGTCATCGCGCATCTTCCTACGCCCAGCAACCGCTTGCTACAATGAATTTTTCGCTGTGTTTGTTTGTCCCCGTAGCTCGATCAAGGAAACGTACTTTAGTACGGTTCCGGAGCGAAGCTTAAGGGAAGCATAGACCGTCCCCGTGGTTCACGCTCCAGGGAGGGAAATATTCTGTACTAACAGACTGCCAACCGCTTTCGAACGGCCGAGAGCTAAACGTTCAGCTTCCCGTGCAGCGCTATTGACGTCCAGCAGTTTTCGCGCTATTGTTTCGGCAGGGAGTTAGGAATTGGCCAAAATTCGCGGCCCGCACTAGTTGTGACTTGTAGGCGCCAATCACGTCCGATGACGACACGTTATTGTCTGCATATAGTAACAAGTAAGGCCCGCCTTCGGCGGGAGCGACCCGTAGCTCGGCAAGGGAAGCGAGTTATGTAAGCTGAAAGTTAGGTTGGGTATGTGGTGTGGAACGGGAGGAGGCGACAAATGTATGGGCGGTATGTTGCTGCTACAAGGAGTCAATCTCCGTACAATCGGCCGGCAGGTATTCTCTGCCAAGCGTACAACCTGGTTCAATTGTCGCCAGTCTTTTGGCAACTGGCAACAAGTCAACAACAACTGAACAGCTCGGCATGGTGCCAAACAGTCTAGTTAGTGGCATGTGACCAGCAGTGTAACCCCTAGCAAAACGGACACCAACCAAACCCAGTGCCGTGCAACCAGCCGTCGGATCTATCATGCTAAAAGTACAGCAGGTCGTTATCTAGTGGACGTTACCGTTACGCCGCAAAGCAAAACGTCGGCCCCTTTCAACAACAACTGAACAGTTCGGCATGGTGCCAAACAGTTTAGTTAGTGCCATGTGACCAGCCGTGTAACCCCTAGCAAAACGGACACCAACCAAACCCAGTGCTGCGCAACCAGCCGTCGGATCTATCCTGCTAAAAGTACAGCAGGTCGTTATCTAGTGGACGTTACCGTTACGCCGCAAAGCAAGACGTCGGCCCCTTTCAACAACAACTGAACAGCTCGGCATGGTGTCAAACAGTCTAGTTAGTGCCATATAACCAGCCGTGTAACCCTTAGCAAAACGGACACCAACCAAACCCAGTGCTGCGCAAGTGTACCGTTACGCCGCAAAGCAAAACGTCGGCCCCTCAGTGGGCGTTGCGGCGCTCGCCCATCCACGGGATGGCGGCGGGGTTCCACTTGGTGTGGAGCACCTGTGGGTGGGATGGATAGTGGAGGAGTGGTCGGGTCGGAGTTGTCTGGGAGAGATAGCAAGGAGACAAGATAAGAACACGAGGATGCGTTTTCCGCAAGAGAGTCCTAAATCGTTCAGTTGTGGACTCACGTGGGCATCGTCGTCCAGCTGGGCGCGGTGCAGGTGCGGGCGCAGGCGGCTCCATTCGGTGGCGGAGAGTGTGCTGCCGGGGTCACGCCATTCAGTGGACGCCATGCTGGTGGCGCGGCTGACCAGGGAGCGGAGCTGCGCGCCCGTGCACCGCATGAAGGCGGCGAAGTCGTCGTAGGCGATGACGAAGAGGTTGCCGCCCGCCGATGCGAGCTCGGTAGGCGGGCACTGGATGCGGCCGTTGGAGAGGTATACCACCGGGTGGTAGCGGGTGATCCATAGGGGAAAGCCGCGGGCGTGGTACTTAGACGCCCGGCGGAGGGAGAATTGGCTGGGGATGGAAATGGCGGCGCCGACAATTAGCGAGTAGAACCAGAGGGCGTGGCAGTACGTGTTGAGGTCCGGGTCTGCCGGGTCGTCGAGGAGGACGGCAAGCATGACTACGGAGAGGTCATAGGCTGTGACGATGGCATCTGCGGATGGGGTAAAGGTAGAGGGAGGGTGCGAGCGGGAGTGTGGAGGTATAAGGGTATTAGTTTGGCTGCGTTGACGTACAAATAAGGCACTAACTCAGGGGGGGGGTTAAAAACCAGCATTCGGCGCCCAAGTCAGCACCCGCTCAGCAACAGAACCGGAAACCACGAATACCTACCACACCCCGACCAGAAACACAACCCCAAACATACCATCCATCAAAGAATCCCGCCGACGCCAAAAAGCCCACCTGAAGCATCCGCCCGAACACCACCGACACACCGTGCCACCCCCCCAACCCCACACCCAAACAAGCTTTGGGGTCAATAGAATTGGTGACGTGCCCTGTCGCGTGTTGTGCCTCTTCCACCGGACTTACGCTTGTGTTGGGCGACGCGCTTGTTGAATTGAACGCGTTGGTGGGTGGTGCGGTTGCCAATGGTGACGTCGCACACGACGGTCGTGGCGCGCTCGGTGTCGATGATGCGCAGGATATGGACGTCTTGCAGCATGGTGAGGAGGTGGATGGCGTTGCGAAGGATCGTGAAGCCAGCGGCTGCGGTGGGAGCAATGACGTAGATGTCCTAGTCGTGTACGAGGTTGGGGGTGATGGCTTCCAGGGGGATCTGAGGGGTTGGTGGAAGGAATTAGAGGAGGGGGTGAATAAGCGGTTTGATGGGGCAGATGGGACAGAGCGAATAGAGCAAGGTGCAGGTGGAAAGGGAGGTGAAGAGGCAAGGACCAAGTGGGAGTAATGAGGAATTTTAAGGTGGTGCGGCCCCCATGTCTTCGGCTATAACTGTACCTGGAGGACTGCGTAGAGCGCGGCGCTTCCTGCAAGCGCGAGGGTGGCAGGGAACGCTCGCAGCAGCGTGGGGATGAGGCCATTGGTCAGGCAGCCGAGGCGGCCTGCGGAGGTGGTAAGGGTTGCGACGGGAAAATGAGAGGTTGGCCCAACCTTGAAGAATTATAGCCGGACGTGAAGGTGACGACGAGCGAGTGAAGGTGACCACAAAATCCACTCCCACCCCCAAACGACCGACCACCAAAACACGCCGACGCCCCTAAAAACCCACTCCGAGGTGGCTGCATCCTACCTCCTGTCTTTCCAGGTTTACCTTTCACGTCGCGGGGGTTGACCACGTTGCGGTTGTTGGCGAATTGTTGGGGTGCGGGTGTGTTTGCAGGTGCGCGGAGAACGTAGTGACGGAGAGCGGCGAAGGCAGTTGCGATATGCGTAGAGTTGGCGATGAGGCGCTGTTGCTCGCCCCACGCCCACCGGCTGCACTAACCACCACGCCACCTTGCTGAAGGCGCTGCAAGATAGCTGACGGGTCCGTACTATCATCTAAAGGGTCGGAAGTAGAGTATGCGCCCCCATGGTGCACCTCGACGTCATCCAGCCCCAGCATGTGTACTCCAGGTCCGATGTATCCGTCTGGCTGCAGTGCGGCTGCAGGCGACACAACGACACCAGCTGTACCGCCCGGCACGGCTAGTGCGGCCGCCATGGGCGACGGCCGAGCGAAGACGCCTGCACGCGCGCGGTTGGCAAAATTTAGGATTAAAGCTGCAAAGTTCCAATTAATCTGGAGCTGGAGTTAGGGAGGCGCAACAGCCACCTGCTGGATGTTGCCCGGCGACGTCGGAAGGGTTACCTTGGGTGTGTGATTGCATGGCGGCACAGCACGGTATGGGTAAAGACGCTGTCTCCCACCCCCCTCCACGCGCAGCAATGCACATCAGGTCCTTACCTGTCACCGGGATATTTGGCGTACGACCAGACGGCGCTGGCTCCTGACCAGCACCCGGACCAGGCGATCGACCACCTACAAATGTACGGTCCCAGGCGCGGTCGGACGTACAACTGGTAATAAGGATGAGTCAAAACAAACTTTCCTGCTCACGCGCACGTTCGGACCATTGCGTTGCAAATGGAAAAGGTAGGCCCCTCACCTGCTGCATTCGCGCCCTCCGTCGCCGCTTCCACATCATCCTGCTGCTGCCGCACCCGAGCGTTGCCGGCACGATCCCCTTCAAATGCAGCGCGCATGACCGCTGCCGTGTCTGGGTCATCTGTAGCCACCGCGTGCGCCACTAACGGCTCTGGCACCGTCGGCTCCGCACCCAGAGCGCGATACTGCTGAAGTGCAGCGTGGTCCACCTGAGCCATTGGATTCACGCGAACGGCCCACTCCGCCCATGCAGCGATAGCCAGGCCCCGCATCTTCAAGCATGGTGCCTGCCGCACTTTGGCCTCGAGGTCGGCACGATCTTTGACAGCATCAATTAGCACGACCTGAATGAAGGACGGCAGATCCGCTGGAGCGTATGGCACAACACGCTGGAGCTCGCTGGGCACGTCGTTTGGAAAGGCGAGCGTATGCCCACGCAACGCCGCTGGCAAGGTATCCACCGCGCGCCAGCTGGGTGTACCCGGCTGCCGCACAACGAGCAGCCGCATGTGAGGGCGAGCGAGGCCCACCACCAAGCTCTCCAGATGCGTCAGCGGTACGAGCGAATGACCATGCTGATTTACAGGGGGTACGTCGCCGGGATCCAACCGAGCCAGCGCCCCATCTGGGATCCGCCCACCTGGTGAAGGGCAGTGACAGGGGCGTTCAATGTCAGTAGAGGCATGGGAATAGACGGAGGTACAGTGCCAGGGCCCGGTCGAGGCAGCCCATCATCTATAATGAAAACAAATAGCACCATGCCGGTGCTAATAGTGATCACAACCTTCGCAAACAGACGGCCCCCATGTTACCATAACAGCGTTCACTACCCAACGCACCCTGTAAGGCCTGTATGCATTCCGAGCAGACCGTAAAGCGCTCCACGCCGTCCGCTGAAACGTTCATCGTTCGGTTGGGCAGTACCGTCTCCGCGCGCATGCAGTACGGCACCTCCACCGCCACGGGATTATCGTCACACAGCCGTACCCCTACCCGTGGCGCATACGTTGGAGGACGGTCTATGTCGCAGCGTCGTCGGCGTGACGGCCGATCATCGGTAGAGTCGTCAAGGCCGCTGCTGGTCTCGCCGCTGCCCTCGCCAGCGGATGTGTCAACTACGCCGACGTTGCCCGACTGACCACCAGCGGCCTTGTAGCCGCGTGGCAGTACGGGATCCGGCGGGTTTTTGCAATCACGCCGATCGACACGCCGCCAATACAGAACGTGCGCGCAACGAGGCACAGCCGCAGTCCGCCGCATGTCAGCACGTAGCAGCTCAACGCCAGCTATCTCGCTGAACTGCAGCGCCCGGACCTCTGAAGCGGACTTGCACTCACTGCAGACTGCACACACCCGTGATGGCATGTTGTCGCGAACGAACTCGGCGAGGCCACAAGCCAAAGTTATCTGCTCCGAAAACGGTATCTGGGGAGGCTGTTCACCTGCTGGCAAGTCCCGCACCCGAGCTGGCCAAGCAGACGTTTGTGTCTCTAAGAACGTCGGCAGCTCAGGTACAGCTGGATTGTCGTGACGGAAAAGCGGCAAGCAGAGGCAGCCTGAAAGGGACTCGAGGTAATCATCGTGAGACAACCCACCCACAAGTCGAGAACGCTTACGCTGGCAAGCTTGCCTAGCTGCTGCCATCAGTTGCCTCCGCTGAAGCCTACACGCTGCATTGTCACGTCTGCGCGCCTGCCTGGCTGCAGCCGATGCCGCTGCTGGTGCACCCAAAAGGTCGTTCTGCTGTACATGCAGCGCAGTGGAACGCCCATGCCCCAATCCCAGCCCTCCCACTGCTGCCGCCGGCGCTGCTGCTGATGCTGCTGGCGCCACTGCGGGATTCCCACCGCGCCGGCCGGAGCCGCCAGGCCGAAGCCCGCCGGGAGTCCCACCGTCCCCGCCGGAGCCGCTAGGCCCAAGCCCCAACCAGGCTGCGCCGCGGCGGGGAGTCCCACCGTCCCCGCCGGAGCCGCTAGGCCCAAGCCCCAACCAGGCTGCGCCGCGGCGGGGAGTCCCACCGTCCCCGCCGGAGCCGCCAAGCTGAAGTCCACCGGTAGTCCCACCGTCCCCACCAGAGCCGCTAGGCCGAAGCCCACCGGGAGTCCCACCGTCCCCGCCAGAGCCGCTAGGCCCAAGCCCCAACCAGGCAGCGGCGCCCAAAGACCGAGGCCCAAGCCAGCCGCAGCCGAGGCCCCTAGCCTGGAGCCTCCGCCGACTCCCGCAGCCGTACCGCACAAACCCGCCTGCCCCGAGCTACCTCCTCCTGCGACTGTACGCTGCACACCAGCGCTCGGCAGATGCCCTCGCTGTTGTGCTTGCTCCTGTTGCAGACGAGCGATAGTCTGGTACAACGCAACAGCAACAGCATCTGCCCGCATGAGGTCCTGTTGCCGCACCACGTCTGGATCCCCCAGCTGGAGCTGCCATCGCACCGAAGCGAGTGGGTTAGGAGGAAGGTGACCAGCAGCAACAGCATACCGAGCGCACAGCGTAGCAACGACATACTCGCTGTCACTCCTCTGGCGTACTCGATCCAGTAAGCCGTGCTCAAGTATGTACGTCCCAAGCTCCAGCATGTAAGTAGCTACCTCAGGCACTGTATGCCCGAACCCACGCAAACGATCGACGACCCGCTGAACGAATTCCGACAAAAGCCCAGGGAAGCATAGAACCGCATAAACGGAACCTTGACGCTCGGTCAGCAACAAGCTGGCAACTGCTTTGAACCACGGCCACACGCTGAGCCGACGTAAGCCGCTGCAGTAGAGCACGTTGTCGAGCGGGTCACCCGCGCCTGCGACACGCCCAAGGGAAAGGCTGGTACAGCGCCAGAATATAACCGAACGTCATGCGCTCGCCACACACACCTTGATCATCCTTTCCCATGGTGCCCAGCTCGGAAAGCGGTAGCTCTATACCAAACAACGAAACAAAAAACAGCAGCAGCAAGCCAAAGGCTCTGCTAGGACTACTTTCCAGGCAAGGAAGTACTTTCGTTAGCCTCGCCGCACGTGGCGTGGCTTGTGCACCGTTATAAATTGGTTTTACGCGCTTTCTTATACGCTTATTTAGACGTCTATCTAAAACATCTTCGTAGGTGGGTTGTGAAGCGGCGTGGTTTTCCTCGCGAAATCGAAGCGCGGTGAAGCCACGCTGGCTACGCAATATAGCCGTAGTAGACTTCACAAACTCGAACAAACTTCACAAGCAACGACACGAGCGACGCACGAAGAGTTGGCCGGCCGTTGAAAATCTGGTAAGATTCCGTATCAAAGAGCGTGACAGCAAAAGCGCGCCACGCTGGACGGTTCAAAGTGAAGGCCGAGCCGTGAACAAGAGCGCTGAAAGGATCCCGTTGAGCGTGACGGGAACGGGGTATGCATCCCTTCGCTTCGCTCCTCCGAAACCGCATACTTTTGGAAGTGGGGCGTCAGTGTGGGACGGTTTCATTTTTTTGTCTGGATTTTTGTTAGGTCCGAGGTGTTTGCGCTTTTTTTTTATTCGAGGGGGGTGATCTTGAGTGTGCTTGCTCCTGTTGCAGACGAGCGATAGTCTGGTACAACGCAACAGCAACAGCATCTGCCCGCATGAGGTCCTGTTGCCGCACCACGTCTGGATCCCCCAGCTGGAGCTGCCATCGCACCGAAGCGAGTGGGTTAGGAGGAAGGTGACCAGCAGCAACAGCATACCGAGCGCACAGCGTAGCAACGACATACTCGCTGTCACTCCTCTGGCGTACTCGATCCAGTAAGCCGTGCTCAAGTATGTACGTCCCAAGCTCCAGCATGTAAGTAGCTACCTCAGGCACTGTATGCCCGAACCCACGCAAACGATCGACGACCCGCTGAACGAATTCCGACAAAAGCCCAGGGAAGCATAGAACCGCATAAACGGAACCTTGACGCTCGGTCAGCAACAAGCTGGCAACTGCTTTGAACCACGGCCACACGCTGAGCCGACGTAAGCCGCTGCAGTAGAGCACGTTGTCGAGCGGGTCACCCGCGCCTGCGACACGCCCAAGGGAAAGGCTGGTACAGCGCCAGAATATAACCGAACGTCATGCGCTCGCCACACACACCTTGATCATCCTTTCCCATGGTGCCCAGCTCGGAAAGCGGTAGCTCTATACCAAACAACGAAACAAAAAACAGCAGCAGCAAGCCAAAGGCTCTGCTAGGACTACTTTCCAGGCAAGGAAGTACTTTCGTTAGCCTCGCCGCACGTGGCGTGGCTTGTGCACCGTTATAAATTGGTTTTACGCGCTTTCTTATACGCTTATTTAGACGTCTATCTAAAACATCTTCGTAGGTGGGTTGTGAAGCGGCGTGGTTTTCCTCGCGAAATCGAAGCGCGGTGAAGCCACGCTGGCTACGCAATATAGCCGTAGTAGACTTCACAAACTCGAACAAACTTCACAAGCAACGACACGAGCGACGCACGAAGAGTTGGCCGGCCGTTGAAAATCTGGTAAGATTCCGTATCAAAGAGCGTGACAGCAAAAGCGCGCCACGCTGGACGGTTCAAAGTGAAGGCCGAGCCGTGAACAAGAGCGCTGAAAGGATCCCGTTGAGCGTGACGGGAACGGGGTATGCATCCCTTCGCTTCGCTCCTCCGAAACCGCATACTTCGTATACGTTTTCTTCGAATCGAGCTACGGGGACTAGTAAGGCCCGCCTTCGGCGGGAGCTACCCGTAGCTCGCGGGAGAGAGCTGGACTACGAGTAGCAACGGCAGGGGATGTCGAGAAGAAAGAGCGGTTGCACGCATGCGTGTAGGGCGTGAGGATGCAGAAGGATGCTTAAAGCACAAAAGGAATGACAGCGATAGCCGCCAAGGCTGCTAGTACATGAACGGTTAGGAAGCGCGAACGGCTTGATGACGCCGCGGAAACGTGCAGGATATCAATGCAAACAGGTGGTGGAGTGCGAAAACCTGCCCTACCTGCCCGAATACTGGTGCTCATACATACATGCGTATGCACGCATGCCGTGCCGTGCCGTGCCTTGTCGGGATATGTCGAAATACTGGTACTGATACTGGCACCTGTGCGTTAGTACAGGGTACTGACCCTACTACCACTGCACTACTACACATCTTCCCGTCGTCACCACTCGCCCACATAGCAACCATCCGTCCGGGCATCTGTCCGCAGTGGCTATAATCGAGTGAATGACCGTTACAATTAGGGTTGGGACTTTACGCCGTAACCAGGTTTTGGCGGCCGTAATGACGTAACAGTCATTACGTCAATAGTCATAAACCCGTAATTTACGGCCAAGTTGGCTGCAGAGTCCACCGTAATATTTTACGGTAGCCGTTACGGTGCGATAACTGACACAGACGAGATACCACCCTTACCTAACACCTTTCCTAAGGTTGTTATACTTATTTTAGTAGCTACCGGCTGGGAAAAATGGCGGATCTGTCAGCCGACGCGCCTCCTGCCAAGATGTCGCTTGCGACCATTAGGGAAATTTCCTCAACCTTGAGAAAGCCTATTACTCTGCCCACTCTGGGCTATATGCAGATTTTGGCATTCTTAGAGTGCACCATAAATGGCCTAAGGCACCGGCGAGTTGACCAATGGCTGCTAAGGTTTGACAGCCTTGACCAAAGTTTGACCAAGGTTTGACCAACGCTTGACCGCTTCCTATGGCGGATTCCTTGCTTACTAGGCCTTAACAATGAAAAAACACGGTATGTATGGCATTCAATGTCGGTTACGGTTAAGTATTTGGTGTATTCAAACGCCTTTGTTGGGGGCATGGGGTACTTCCTTACGCTTTAAGCGTAAAAAAGGGTCTGGGACCACCGTAATTACATTTACGCCGTCACAGCGCAAAAAACGTAGCCATTTTTGGGGTCTGACGTAATTACGGTGGCGTATTTACGTCAGAACGTAATACCGTAAACCGTAAGGTCCCAACCCTAGTTACAATGGTGCCCTAAAAGGGAACACGGGTGCTATAATCAGTACAGTACCGCAGCCCAGTTGCTTATGAAAGCACCCGCGCGTGCACCCTGCCTCCCTGCCAGACCAGGTGCGACATGCAAACTGGCAGTCCCGCCGTGCCTAAGTACGGCGTCATGACACCGTCTCCGCCTTTTCCAACTACCGGCGCATGTATGCTTCCACACGTCCTGCCAGAAGCTCGGCGCGCCCACGCGGTCCCCGCACTGGCCCATTAACGAGCATGCATGCAAGCAGGCATGCCCTGCCCCACGCGCCCGGTGCCTATGCGCGCAGAAATCCTCTCGTACTGACGGAAATTGGCGCCCAGGCGCGCAAGCACCACCACCCTCCCCAAGCGCCTGCACCCAGGCGTCCCCGTCGAACCCACCCATGCGCCAACGCTGCTGCGTGAGTGCATATCGACCCGGCAATAACACCCGGCCCATAAATCGGCACAGATACATGCATGTATACCCGCCATGCCCAACTACTGGCGGCCACGCGGGTACGCACATCCACTGCACCGTGCCCAATTACGACCGCGCCCAATGATGTACGCATGCATCCCCGCCCTGCTCAAGTAGCGATACCAATGCGCGCATGATACACCCCCGGACCGCGCAGGGAAGGGCTTGGGAAGAATACTTGTTTGTCTTGGAAAGCAACAGATCTACACTCGTTCTATGCTTAACGACGGGATGTGGCGTACACGCACGCAACACGCTCGGGCTCCGCTACTCCTGAAGCGCAAGCAAGTAGAACAACCGTGGTAGCATTCTACTTGGCAACAGATCCCGCGATACTATGCGGCACAGCCGAGCGATGGCCCAACCTGCCGTGTCAGTTATCGGCGCCCACATGCGCATGCATCCCCACCCGTTCAAGCTGTCAGTGCTCAAGCGTGCAGACGTCCTCTCGTCCTGCCATGAACCGGCACCCATGAGCCCGAGCATTACTGCATCTCCCAACCACCTCCGCCCAACCATGCATCAACGCCGATACGAGAATGCATGCACACCCGGCCCATGCGTTGATGCGATACAGGCATGCATACCCGCCATGCCCAAGTGCAGGCGCCCATGCTAACCGTGCCCAACGACCGCGCTGATGTAAACGCATGGATCCCATGTACAAAACAATCATGCGCGCACGCAGACACCCCCTGTCCAAGTCAACTACCCGAAGCCATGAGACCAGCGGCCCACCCTGCTCATAATCTGGCGCATATGCGTGCAGGAGTGAATGCATTTGGAGGCAGGAACTTCGTGGGAAGGGCAGGGAGGCCTCACTCGGGGCGCCGCACGGGGGAAGGGCAGTGGGAGGCAGGTGCCGCCCGGGGAAGAGTCATTTAGCGGCCATTGTAACGGCCAATAATTTGTTTCTAATCTCGAAGGAAGGGCAATGACGGGGAAGGGCATTGGAAGGCAAGCAGAGCACGGGGAGAGGCAGGGGAGCCGCACGGGGAGAGGCATGAAGAGGCAGGTGCCGCGAAGGGGAAGGCCGGGGAGAAGTGAGGCGTCGCATGTGGAAGGGCGGTCACACGGGCAAGGAAATGGGAAGGCAGGAAATGCTTAGGGAAAGGCAGGTGGACGCAGGCGCAGCCAGGGGTAGGGCAGTAGGAGGCATCCTTCCACGCATTGTCCAACTACCGCCGCCTGCTGCATGCGCAGGCATACTCGCGCTGCTGAACCATCAGCGCTCACACGTCCTGCCCAAAGCCCGGCGCGCCCTTGCAGTCCCCGCACTGGCGAACAACAAAGGTGCATGCGCAGGCACATGCATGCACTCCGGATCTGCGGGGGATACCCTTCTCTTCCCAGCTAGTTACTGGCGCCCACACGCACATGCATTCAAGCCTCTCCCGGCTATCGGCACCATTGCGTGCAAGCATCACCACCCTCCCCAAGGACCTGCGCCCAGGCATCTCCGTCGCACCTACCCGTGCATCAACGCCAAAACTCGGCCCATAAACTGGCACCGACACATGCATGCATACCCGCCATGCCTACGGTAACTACCGGCGGCCATGCGGGCACGCACACGCACCGTGCCCATTGACAGCTGTGGTGTACGCATGATACCTGCCTGCCCAAGTACCGACGCCAATGCCTGCGTGCATACCGTAAACCCCCGTGCAACTCAATCACCTGCGGCCATGAAACGAGCGGCCCCACCCTCCTCATAAGCTGGCACATGTGCGTGCAGGAGTGACCGCATTTGGAGGCAGGAACTTCCTGGGAATGGCAGAGAGCGAGGCCACACGTGGGCCCGCAAGAGGCCCGCAAGGGCGCTGCACTGAGAAGGACACAAGGTGGCAGGGCCGCGCGAGGAAGGACAGCCGATAACATTTGGAGGCAGGCGCTGCACATGGTAGGGCACCGAGGCTCCAGCAAGAGGCTCGCAAGTTTGCTGCACGGGGAAGCACACGGGGACACCAGTGCCGCGTGGGGAAGGGCAGCTGCATGGGTTAGGGCATTGTGAGGCAGCAGTCGCCGAGGAAGGGCATGGGGAGACAGGCAGGTACAGCACGGGGAGGGGCGGCCGGCACCGGGAAGAACTTAGGGGAGCTGGCGCCGCACATGGAAGGGCATCGTGAGACAGGCACTGCACGGGTAAGGGCACGGACAGCCAGACATTGCACGGTGAAGGGCATGGGTAGCTAGGCGCAGCACCGGCAAGAGTTAGCGTACTCGAGGAACGTGCATTGATAGGAGGCAGGCGCCGCGCGGGGAAGGGCATGGGTAGATTACTTGGCGTTTTGAGCGACGGATCTACGTGTACACTGAAAGGTGAGGACCCGTTCAAGGACGTGGCGTACCCGCACCACGTTCGGACACCGCTATTCCAGAAACCAGATAAGCGTTCAGCAGGTGTGGAAACCTCGGGGCACCAACCGTTTCATTATGTAGATTGGCAACAAAACATCTACAACTAGAAAACCCATCTACGCGAAAGGGCCTGAGCGATGCCGATAATTCCAGACGAACCGATGATGGCCGATTTGCCGACGCGACGCACCTTGGACCGCCGGGTAAGATAGGCGACTGCTGTAAGCAAAGCTGGCAATACCCGCATGGGAGGCTGACGACCCCAAGGCCGGTAATGCGCTGCGGGAGAGAGCGCCGGAAGGCATGCCGAGTTTGCCGACCCTGCTGCGGAGGTTATGTGCTGCGGGCAGACAAGCTGCCCCCTTATTAGTCATGCACTTCGCCGCACGAGAGGCCGCCATGCCCTCTGCTGGGCCGGGGTTTCGCTGCTGGAAGGCACGCTAACCACTGCCAGGGAGGGAAAACGCTGCAGACAGAAAATGTGCATCAGGAGGTGACGCTGCATGCTCCCTGTCAGGCCAGTAATGAGCTGCAGGACAGCACACAGCCCGCTGGTACTGCGCTGAGAGGGAGAAGCTGTCACTGTCAGGCCGGCAATGCCCTGACGCCGCCTGCTGCTAGGACGGTAACGCGCCACCTGCTT